ACTTTGTCAAAGGCTTTCTGAAAATCTAAGTATACTATAAGTATACTACTGGATCCCCCTTATCTGCATGTTTGTTAACCCCTTCAAAGAACTCTAATAGATTAGTAAGACAGGATTTCCCTTTACAGAAACCATGTTGACTTTTGTCCAACAAATTATGTTCTTCTACGTGCCTGACAATTTTATTCTTTACTATTGTTTCAACTAATTTGCCCGGTACTGAAGTTAGACTTACCGGTCTGTAATTGCCAGGATCATCTCTAGAGCCCTTTTTAAATACTGGTGTCACGTTAGCTACCTTCCAGTCATTAGGTACAGAAGCCGATTTAAAGGATAGGTTACAAACCACAGATAATAGCTCAGCAATTGCCCATTTGAGTTCTTTTAGAACCCTTGGATGAATGCCATCTGGTCCTGGAGATTTGTTAACATTAAGTTTTTCTATTTGTTCCAAAACCTCCTGTAATGACACTTTAATCCGGGACAGTTCCTCAGATTCATCACCCACAAACGACGGTGCAGATTTGGGAATCTCCCCAACGTCCTCAGCCGTGAAGACTGAAGCAAAGAAATCATTTAGTTTCTCCGCAATGGCTTTATTGTCCTTGATTGCTCCTTTTATATCTCGATCGTCTAGGGGAGGACACTGTTTTTTTAGCAGGCTTGCTGCATCTAATGTACTTGAAAAACCTTTTGCTATTTTTTTTTTTTGAGTTTGGCTAGCTGTTCCTCGAAATCTTTTTTTGCTTTTCTTATTACATTTTTACACTTGATTTGACAGTGTTTATGTTCCTTTCTATTTATCTCACTAGGATTGGACTTCCACTTCTTGAAAGATGCCTTTTTGTCCCTCACTGCTTCCTTTACATGGTGGTTAAGCCACGATGACTCTTTTTTAGGTCTCTTACTCTTTAGTCCTTGCTGAAATGGGACTAGATCATAAACTGTCCATGCAGACTAACAGCCAACATCAGGTTAGTGCCAGGTTCACTCACACTCCTTGTTGCAAACTAAATGTTGCATACACACGCCCTTAGTCTGGGGATAACAGTGTAATCTGATGCTGGACGAGGAGAAGACCCCCTCAGTCTAGGGTTAATGGAGATTGCCCAGGTTAAATAGCGTGAAGGCTCTTTCATGCCAGCAATAATCATGCTGCCCTCAGTCCATGCCAATATCATGCTTTTGACTCTCTCTCCCCTTAACTACTATAATCTATTCCCTTCTGTCCTCTCTGCTTCTTCCCTCTCTCACCTCTAATCTATCTAACACATCCACGAACACCATCTTCTCCTCCCCATTGCTTTACCTCTGGCACTCCCTCCTCTATTTTCCTTCTTTCTTCATCAGGTGTAACAAAGCTCTCCATATTCATCTTTCAGGCTCTGTATAGCTCTGCTCCTGCTTGCAACTCTGTTCATTTCCTCTCCATCCCCTTTTACACCCTACACTCCCCTCCGCACACTTCTCTCCTTAGAGATTCCTTTGCTTTTTCCCACCTACATCTGTCCTCTATACTTGGAAAGTTTCTCCTTCTTTCTGCATGCCAGGTAGCCCCCTTCAAACATAATTCCTTCTCTTCCAGATCTAGAGCAGAGCTAGCTCCAACTCCTGTGCCCAGTCCTTTATTGTTGTTTTATCTGTTTATTTGTGGCCGCATGTTCCTCAGGACTAGGATCTTGTCCTCCTATGTGTTTGAACAGACAGCGTGCATCAGTGGCACTATGTAAATAATAGTAAGAAGATGATATGGTGAGATGACTCCTTCAGGCTGGAAGTTTAGTGGTCTGTGCCAGTGTCAGTGATTGGAAGAGGACTCCTTCAGAGAGCTATATCACTTGCAATAAACAAAAGGAAAAACCTGAGCTATATTTTTAAAGAGCTGTTAGGTTGTCCCAACACAAGAATATCATGTTGTACAGGTGTCCAAGCTGCTCAAGTACAAAAGCCACCAACTCAGAGCATTAACAAACTGGGAAACTGACCACTGCATTATGTCAAACATGTTATTCACAACCAAATGACAATTTATGTCTAGAAAGCACAATCTAAATCCGACCCCATTCAACGTGTGTGTTTATCCACCAAAACAACCTTAACTCTGTCCCTTGTTGGCAAGCAAACATGACATAGGAAAAAAACTGAGACATCCTTCAACCATAACAAAACATTTCCAATCATCACTGACCACAAACACTAGAATATGTTACTCTTTGCTGAACTGTTATTCTGCAAATCTGTCCACCTTGCAGTCTACACAAAAAGACATACTTAACAAAGTCATAAATAGACAACAAGCAGGCTCAGAATGATTGTTCACCATTATTCATTGACAAATCCTAGCCTTCACACTAAGCCCTCTATGGGCCACCAATAAACACTGGTAATGTGTACTCAAACCTTATAAAGACAGAAAATGAAATGACATAAATGACATGAAAAGAGAACAAGTTAGTGGAAGGATCTTCTTATATTTTAGAACAACAGCTTTTACAGACTACAGGCAACTTAGAACTTTCCTGAATAAAGATGATGAAGTAAGTCTTCTTATATTTTAGAATAACAGCATTTACAGACTACAGACAACTTAGAACTTTCCTGAATAAAGATGATGAAGTAAACATGAAATGATATCAGTGGACAGTTTGAAAACAGTCACGAAAATCTGTGTGTTGTTTTGAAAACAAAGCTCCAGGGGCAGTGTCCTGCAAGATGCTGAGTAGGTCTGAGCAAAATCTTTTGGACAAACCTTTTTTTGGGGGTGTGTGAAAAATGCAGATTTGGCAACATTTGTGAATGTGTGTCCACTTCACTTCACTGTATAATACTTCCTCTCCTCCCCCACCCCCAAGTATTCCTAAAAGTTGAAATATTTCATTTTGACATTTTTTAGTTTTGCAGTAAACATGACTTTTACAGTACAAATTTCCTTCAATTATTTTTTTTACTAATGCAAGTATGTTTTAAAAACTGCTCAAAATTGAAACAAAACATTTTGTTCAATCAAAAACATTTTTTGGGGGAGGAGGGGAAGGGGAAGAGGAAGGGTTTGGAGCTGGGTTGCTCCAAAACAATTTTTTTGGAATCCGCAGCAAACCAAAAAGTCCACTATTTGAGCTGGGTTGCTCCAAAACAATTCTTTTGGAATCTGCAGCAAACCAAAAAGTCCACTATTTGAGTGGTTCTAGCGCTGATCAATTTTGCTTAACAGAGCAGAACTCTTAGCATGAAATTAAAAACTTTAAGCATTTACAATGTTTTGCACATTGCTGGAGCAAGCCCTAGATAGGAAGGAAACAAAGAAATTGAAGTATGTAGGCAAGTTTTGTTATAGGAGCAGATTTCACATTGTTTTGGCATGGTGCTTCCTTATTATTTTGATGAAGCACACACGTGTCTGTGTAAATCCTACCTTTTCAATGTTCTTCGCGTTTGTATCTGAATAACCTTCAGTGTTACGTGGCACAGTGTTCTTATGGAATTTCCTCATTTTTTCACAAAAGTTTTATACTATTTAATTATGGATAAAAATAATGATGCAGATACCTTGTTAAAATATTGATCTTTAATTTTACTTTAATGTGATTTAGAAAATAAAAATATTCACATTTTAATGCTAAATTGTTCTTGCATGAGTTGATCAATGATTTCCTTTAAATTTCAGTATGTATTTATATAAAACAAAAATGCCAACTTTGAAAAATAATTTATAATTCTAAAGCATTTCTTGGAACTTTTTAAAATACAAATCAATTCTTTCACAGGTGTTTTCGTTTTCATCTTTTTAGCACATGCTTGTTGATTCCTATTTTTCTTTTAATCTTTTTTATTAAAAAAAAATTATTATAGACTGTCATTATCATTCTGGCCTACTGTGTTTATCTGTGCAACTATTTATAAAATTGCTGTTTTCTTTCCTTTAATATTTCAAAATATTTTTCTTGGTTTTTAAATCCATTTGTGTTTTATGCACTCTTGTGTCTTCCTGTATGTCTTCTCAACTCTAACACCACCTTAACAAAGGGTTCTGTCTAAAGATTCCTTGTGTTTAAGTTTGACGTAGCTATGACATACATAGAGATCAAGGCAGGTAGAGGGAAGGAAACCTGCTGAAGCCTCTATGTTCTGATGGGAAATGGGACCAGGCAAACCAGGAGAACTGCAGGATACTGGGAACCATAAGGAGCCACAATTCAAAGAACTCTGTGGAGCTTCAAAACTGTGCATGACCTTGGTTTCCCAGCTATCCTCTGTAAGGGTATGTCTACACTAGCTCGTTAGTTCGAGCTAGGTAGACAAATGAGGGCAGCTGGAGTTGCAAATGAAGCCTGGGATTTAAAAATCCCGGGCTTCATTTGCATGTTCCTGGGCACTGCCATTTTTAAATCCCCCTTAGTTGGAACTCTGTGCCCGCGGCTACACGTGGCACCGAGTAGGAAGTTTGAATTAGAAATCCTAATTCGAACTACCATTACTCCTTGTTCCTCGTTCCACAAGGAGTAACGGTAGTTCGAATTAGGATCTCTAATTTGAACTACCTACTCCATGCCACGTGTAGCCGCGGGCACGGAGTTCTGACTAAGGGGGATTTAAAAATGGCGGCGCCCGGGAACATGCAAATGAAGCCCGGGATATTTAAATCCCTGGCTTCATTTGCAACTCCGCTTGCCCTCATTTGCCTACCTAGCTCGAACTAACGAGCTAGTATAGACATACCCTAAATCAGCTTCCCACTATTCACCAGCCTTCCCTGCTTTCCCATGTGCCAAAGCTTGATTCCTGCTCCTTCTCGCAGCTTTGCACACTGTGGATATTCTGAAGTGCCCAGAATCTGCGCAGACCATAACAGTTCTGCAGGAACCATCAACTCAATATGGAATCGACTAGTGTCCACAGTAGGTCCTACAGACTTCAGAAAGTCTGCAGGGAAGAATATCTGGCACCAGAAGTTGGACTCAGGGTGTGGAACTTGGGGGAGCTGGAAAGCAGGGGGAAGATGACTCAAAGAAGGACCCAAGTGGGCCCAGAGAAAGTCTGCTGAGTGTAGAAGCTTTGTAGGTGTGCTGAACTGAGGTAGGTGGGGAGACCTGGGGATCCAGAGGACGTCTCTAGGGTTAACGAATGTGCTCAAGGCTACCTGTGGTTCTCACCTACACATAATTCAGCTGCATACAGCAGCATATACATGGTAATGATGCTCATGAAAGTCCATGATTCTTCATCTTTCTTTTCAGCCTTATTACTATTCCCTTTCCCTTGACTTGAATTCTAAAATTTTTTGCTAGCATGGGAAGGTGCACCACAAGTACATCTTACTGTTGTGAAACCCTGCTAATCTGGCCCTTGCTGGCAATGTGGTGATTTTGCTGCCTTCCTTCCAGGATAAGAGGGTGGGAAAATTCTGCTGCTACCTGCCTCACCAAGCAGGATGCTGAAAATTATGGCCAAGATTTTCAAAAGCAACAAGTAATTTTGGGTGTGTACATGGAGCCAATCAGAGGACAGAGTAATCTACCAAGGAGAACTCTTGACACACTGACATTGCTAACTCATTTCAACCAATAAAACTGTAGCATGCAAATTAACCAGACAGGGAACGGTGATAATTGATTGACATCACATTGATGTCACATTGACAATATATAAGAATAACCTGAGCTAGTGACAAAACTCAAACCATAATTATAACAACAAATAGTCTTGTAGCACCTTAGAGAATAACAAAAATACATTTATAGCACAGTATCATGAGCTTTCATGGGCAACACCCACTTCTTCATCTCTAAGGTGCTACAGGACTACCTGTTGTTTTTTCAAAGCTACAGACTAACATGACTCCCCTCTGAGACTAATAATCATAACAGTAAGATGCAACAATCATGAAAAATGTTCCTTAATTACAACCCAACTCCTTTTAATGTAGCCTGTTCCTAAGTTTTCAATGAGTTTTAATAGAAATTCCAAAGCTTTAGAGAGGGATTTTCAAGTATAGTTGATTTAGGAACACAAGTCTCATGGAAAGTTCATGGGACTTGAGCTCGTAAGTCCTTTATGTGATTCTGAAATTCCCATCCTTAGCAAAAAGCCATTTTCAGCTAGAAAGATCCCCTCAAAAACAGACAAACAAACAAAAAACAAAACAAAAACCCAGACTCAAACGCTTCCTTAATCGGACAATTTTTAATAAAGTTTAACTCAAACTAATTAACAGGTTTACTTGAAAATCCAATCTTTCCTCCCAGATTATGGTCTCAATTAATCAAGGCATTTAACCACATGCTGAACTCCCACTGACATCAGTGGGAAGTTCAGAAACCACATGCTTAAAGTTAAGCACAAGTGTAAGTGCTCTGACAATTGGGCCTTGCATGCAGAAAATTTGGAGAAGATACACTCTGTCCTTCACACAAACAAATCTCTTCTTTAAGGCTATGTCTAGACTGCAAGGCTCTTTCGAAAGAGAGCATCTAGACTGCATGTGGAACTTTCAAAAAAGCAAGCCGCTTTTTCGAAAGAAAGCAGCAAGTGAGTCTGGATGCTCTCTTTCTAAAAAGCCCTGTTTGCTTTCAAGAACGCCTTTTTTCGAAAGAGCATTTTCGAAAAAAGGCGTTCTTCCTCGTGAAATGAGGTTTACTGCCGTCGAAAGAAAAGCCGTGTTCTTTCGATTTAATTTCGAAAGAATGCGGCTGCAGTCTAGATGCAGGTGAAGTTTTTTCGAAAAAAGGCTACTTTTTTCGAAAAAACCCCTGTGTCTGGACACAGCCCAAGTGAAAAACTGAATACAACTGAAGAGGCTAGTGTGTCTCTGCAATATCTCCACCTCTAGTTCTTTCTCTCTTGCCTTTCTGGTACATCTACCTTTCCTTCCTGCTTTCTACCAGTACATACATGCCTTCCATTACTTAGGACAACAGGCTAATATCAGAGCTTCACTGGAGTAACAAACAAAGGACAATCTATTGAACTCTTCACAGGGAAACCTCCAGGGTATGAGCATGTGTGTCTGTGTTTTGGGGGGGGGGGGGTCCCTCCCCATCCTCGCACGCAGGTTACCTCTTGCTTGTCATGGTTACACTTCTCGCACATGGCCGGCGAGGAGTAATGATGGAAGACGGAGCCCGATAGGTTATCGATGATCATTAACTCCCCGTCGAAAGAGTCCTTAATAATTAAAGAGACACTGTCCAGCCATAAGTTCTCCTAGGGGACAAGAAAGGGTGAGGATGGGAGAAATTATTTGAAGAACCCAGAGTTTTTTGCTTTATTGTGTTGTGCAAATGTAGGGCCAGATTCTGCCACTCTTAGATGGATGGAGTAGCACTTTACTCTGTGAGAAACCCCACCGAAGTCAGTGAGGCTGGTCATGAAGCAAGATGTCACTTAAGGTGAGTGATGGTGGCAGAATCCAGTACTTGCGGCTTGTCTACACTTGAAACACTACAGATGTGCCACTGCAGCACTTCAGCATAGACCAGTGGATGTCAACCTGTGGTCTGCAGACCCCTGGGATCTGCATACTATGTCTGAGGGGTCTGACTGTCATTACCATAGAACAATGATTTTCAACCTGTGCTCCACGGACCTTCAGGGGTCTACAGACTAAATCTATGATTTCCAAAGGGGTCCTTGCTTCCATTTGAAAAATGTTAGGGGTCCACAGTTGAAAAAAGGTTGAAAACCCACTGGTGTAGACACTACTTGTGTTGACACGAGGGGTTTTCCCATTGGCGTAGGTAACCCACCTTCTTGAGGGGCAGTAGCTTGGTCAATGGAAGAATTCTTCCATCAGCCTAGCATTGTATAAGGGGGTTATGTCAGAATAGTTACATTGCTCAGCGATGGGGATTTTTCATATCCTTGAGCGATGGAACTGGGTTGCCTTAGCTTTATAGTTAGGCCAGGCCTTCGTGTTCATGTAAAATGGAGGGACTAACATCACTAGTTGCCAGTGCAGACAGGCACTGTGAAAACTTCCCTTCCAGCTCTGCCAATGCATCTCACTCCTATACTGCACCATATCCTGCTATTCTGATCCTCAGCTCCCCACACAAAATACTCTTTTAAGGCACCTTAACCTTGACCTACAGAACCCCTGCTATCGTAATCCTGAACTTCCTGCACACATCTCCCAACGCACCACCAATCTGTTCTGCAATAGCCCCTGCACCTCTTGCTATTCCAGTCCTGGCCCCACACAACTCCAACTATGCACTGGAACAACCCAATTCACCCACGCTTGACCTGAATGCAAACCAGTCACCAGCCTCTATCCCATTACTAAGCTCTAAATCATGTAGATTGCCCTCCTTCTCCTCACTCCAGCTAGTTGCAGTCTTGCTGGTAAGCATGAATCTTCACCCACCTGTGCTGGAGAGTAACACCTCATGCACAGACGTCCTTCAGGGTCCACTCTCCCACCTCCTCCACCTCCTCCTCCCTGTCCTGAGCTCGGGGAGCCCCCAGTGCGGGGACAGAGCCCATGTGCCATCTCGAGTTCAATCTCGGCATCCATTTCCGCATCCTCCTGTGCCTCCTTGTTGCTGTCATCAAGGTGTTTCATGAGCACAGCCACCACCACATTGATGAGGACAAACTGGGCGGTGAGCACGAAGCTGACAAAGTAGAGTGGCGAGATGAACTGCAGGTTGCTGAGGCAACTCCGGTCATCATGGGTGCAGTCACGCAGCGTATCCTTGAGGAAAGAGCAGGTGTCAGAGGCAGCAGTGGGAAAAAATGAGGGAAGGACTAGTGTAAGAATTTGAATGTGTCTGCTCCCTCAGGCAAAAAACACAGACTCCAATGCCAGGCAGGACTAAAGCCCTCCAATACTTTGTGCTGTCTGAGCATGTGGGATCTGTGATGCCCACTGTCCCTTGCACTTACAGGAAGTGGTGTCCTCATAGGGGCTGGAACTAGGGGTGCTGCCACACCCCCTGGTTTGAAGTGGTGTCCATTATATACAGGGTTTCTAGTTTGATTCAATGGCTCTCAGCACTTCCACTGAACAAATTATTTCAGCACCCAGGTGATCTCTTCTCTACAAAGAAAAGTCCTTCCAGACCCCCAAATATAGTCCTTTTAATCCCACAAGTGTGAGCAAGAATCACTGCAACTAAGTGCCCAATCCCTTTCATCTCCCAAAGCCACCACCAATGTCTGAAGAATTGTCCACTCCCACCCCTTGAATCCTTGTGAACTATTTAATTTGGAGCAATATGATTTGAATATGGGAGAGAAAACTTATCTCCCTGAGGTTGCTAAATCACAAACCATGCCCCCTGCAGCTCCAGGTGTATGTCATACCAAATGCACCCCTATTTCAACATGGCCGCACTGTTGTCCTGCTCCTTGAGGAGAGAGATTACACTTCTCTCAGGCAGCTGCCTAACAAGATTAGATTGGCCTATGGTCTGATTTAGTACGGCAGGAGATAAATCTGATCTGATCTGGCAAATCAACATCTACATTTCCCCATCATCTAGCTCCTGTGAAAACAGTTCCTGTCAGAAAGCAGGGCCTGCAACAGAACTAGTCTCTAGGTCCCCCAATAAATGCAGTTGAACAGTAGTAGATTGCGATTGACTGGAAGAGTCAAGAGACCAGCTCTTAAGCCCACCAACACCAGCTGCTTTCAGTTTTTGCCCCTGACTGCAAAAGCTTCCGCCTTGGACCCAACCCTGCCCCTACTTAGCTTCACTCCGAGTAACCCAGTTCTGACCTTGGGCTCCAACTACTGACTCTGTCTGTGATCCCTGGCTCTAGCGCTACGCCTCTGACTGTGGCGCTGACACCAAAACATGGTTGCCCAGGGCAGTTCCCAGCAGCACTGATCCTTCCTACTCCAGCGTAGACTATTTCCTTCACTAGAACAGAGCCATTTCTTCCTCTGAGGCCCGCATTACCTTCATGATTCCATTGCAGTTGTCGCCAGTGGAGACCTGGAAGAGCATGAGAAAGGCCATCCCAAAGTTCTCAAAGGTGGCATGGCGGCTCATGCCCTCACAGGGGTTCTCATCATTGCATACTGCAAAAGAAAGGATTTATAATGGTGCAGTGGACACATTTCTAGCTCTCACAGTGTGCAAGGGACTCAGGGTAAGATTCCCTGTGACCACTGCACCCATAGCTATAAATGTATATCCATGCAGGGCTCTAGTCACAAAACATTTTTTGTCGGGGGGTCGGGCTTGGGGGTCCATACTGGTGGAGAGTTAAAATCTACTTGCACTACAGTGGAAGAGTGGCAAAAGGCTACCCCCAGAACATCCAGCAGTAGTCACTTGATCAAGGGCCTAATCCTCTTGGTGTGAAAGGAGATTTCCTGTCCCTCTTTATGGACTTGGCTGAAAGTTTTGCCCATTGGTACATGTCAACATGGACCAAGGGAGTGCATGAACTCCCCCTGAGTCATCCCAGTAGCCCAGGCACGTCAAATTTGAAGCCTACCAAGGGCCGCACAAATGAAAATGGATAGCTTTCAGGGCCACCTGGGGTTCCCAGATGGTTTGTCGAGCAAAAAAAAAACCACACCAGACACCTGGCTTTTAGGTATAATTTTATATTATTACAATAATTTGATGTGTAAAATTGTTATTTGCTAATATTAGATAATTTTAAAATTAATTTTACATATTTTTTAATTTAAATATAAATTTAAGGTACTTTTAAATTTTGTATATGATACATAACTTATTTTGTTGAAATAAGAACAAGTATAGACCATGGTTAATCAAATAGAACAGGCTTCTGTGGAAATTTCAGATACTTTGTAAGTTTGAGATTTTGCATAAAGATATAATTATTCATGCAATTGCCAGAAAATTGACATTTATTTATATAAAATTAATATACATGTTGTGATTTTTATTTGGAAATAAACAAATAAAAACCAAAATATTAACAAAATACCCCCTCCACTCTCCCAGAGCCAAGCCCCGCCCCAATGTTTCCCCTCTCCCCCAGAGCCAGGCACTCCCAGCCCCACCTACCCTAATGTCTGAGTATTGGAGCCACTGCCGCTGCCACACATTTCTTCTCCAAGTGCTAGGGCAGCATGAGCACAGTGGCCAGCTGTGAGCAGGCGCTTGATGCCTGTGCAGAGCAACCTGGCCACCCATGAGCACATGCTGAAGCACCCAGTGCAGAGAGGCCCAGCCAGCTGTGAGCAGTCACTGTGGTGCCACGTGCAGAGCGGCTGGTCAGCCAACTGTGACCTGCACTCGGCCACATGCTCTGAGCAGCCAGTGGGCCGCACTTTATTCTTTTATAAAAATGTAGTGGAGGGCTGCAAAAAATTTTGATCGGGCCTGGCTGGCCGTGAGCAGTTGCTGCGGCGTGGAGTGGCCCGGCCGGCTGCGAGCAGGCACTTGGACACGTGCTCTGAGCGGCCAGCAGGCTGCATTTCATTCTTTCATAAAAATGTTCTGGCGGGCCGCAAAAAATTTCGATCGGACAGCATGAGGCCCTCCAAAGGCCAGTATGACATGCCTGGTGTAGCCTTTTGGCTGACATTGGGACAGGCGGGAGCTGATTTGCTGAGGCAGTGCATGGAAAGCAAAGATTGAAGAATGAGAGAAAGCCATCCACCTCTCGCATTCGGAGACAAGTGCTCTAGAAAGGCAGAAATTCCTGTCACATCAAATACCCGGAGAAGAGAATAAAGGTCATTGGAATACCCACTCCTTTCATTACATCAGAGCTGGGCCTGCTGCAATAAGGAACTGCCTTTTTATTTGATTTTATTTTATTCTGTGGCTCACCTGAGAGCACAACATGCTTGAAACTTACCCAGCTTCCCAAAGAGCTCCACTCCTAGAGCAGCATAGATGAAAAAGAGGAGCATGAAGAGCAGTCCAAGGTTCCCTACCTGAAACCAAATGGAACCATATCAGTCTAATGCAAGCCAAGCCAGGAAAGACTGACTCACAAGCCAGCTAGCACCACTCGAAGCAACAGCAATGGAACACCAGCCAATATTTCCATTATAGAACCTTTAGGAATTCCATGTCCACAGTCAAGCAGGACCCAGGAAATGAATCGTGAAGCCATCAGTCATGCTCACAGCAACCTCATCTCCCTGTGCCTTGCTATCCGAACATCATAAGGCTCACAGCCATTCACAGCTGCCACAGCTCCTATCGCCAGTCACAATGTGGGCATCCAGTTCCTCCCACCCCTTGGACTTCAAGCCCAGAGAGATGAAGAAAATCATATTTTGCGTACATGGAGTGGTAAAGCCTAGCACATGTGATACATATGAGTTGAGACCAAAATTTTATCTGAGAGCCCTTCTCCCCACCTTCCCAGCACCCCCTCAGTGCTACTGCCTGGTGCATTGCAAGTCAAGGTGCTAGTCAAATGTGGGGGCAGAAGTGGGTGAGAGCAGGGTTATCATGGGGTACATGGTGGGGGGCAGAAGGGAATGAATCAGTACCCTCAGATTTGTGTGGTGGGAGGGGAACAAGGGAGAAGAGAGATTGCAGGGACTCAAGTAGGGAACTAGGCCTGTGTTTGAGGTACTTAGAATGGAAGGCACAGGCAGCCTGTGGGAGAGAGCCCAGTTTCTATGCCCCCAGCTATTAGCACTTTGCAGGGTTTCCCATAGAGGCGCTGCCTAGTGCACCATGGGAGCTGTACCAGCAGTAACAGGGGAGAGCACCACCCCTCCCCAGGATCCCTGCTTGTCCCTCATATTCCTTGCTCCCTTGTCTGCAGTGCAGAGTGTAAGGAACAGGACAGGTGTGCAGAAGGCAGACTGGGCAGCAGCAGAAAGGGGAAGCAGCGGACACCAGGTCTGTCAGCAGAGCTTTGCAAGGTGCTGATGAAGGGGAAGAACTCCAATCTGGTTACTCTTGCGAATTTGAAAAGCAGATTTTGTGTGAGATGATTTCAGCACATGGTGTGTGCATAGACAAGCATGTGTGTGCCCATGTGTATGCACTGATGGGGGGCAGGGCGGATGGAATTAGCCACAGGGAACTGAAAAAAGTTAAGATGCTCAGGGATACATTTCCAAAAGGGATTTTTAAAAAATCACATCTCTATTTACTTTTCAAAATGGTTGCAGAATAACAAAGACAGGCAGGGGATTCAAACATGACAACCAGAGAAGCCTTCTATGCCATTAGCAAGTCAAAATCACTGATGACTCTCTGCTCTAGTATAAAGGGAAAAATCTAGACGAGAAGAAGAAAGGAGAGATTGTTTAAAACACTTCTTCATCCAATGTTAAAAAATCTTGGAGAAAATAGTATTATGGAGAATTCAATTGTCCCCAGAAGATTTAGGACACATCTCTACTTACAAAAAGATTGATGCTCCAGAGGTCAATCTTCTAGTGTTTGATTTAGTGGGTCTACTATAGACCCACTAAATCAAATGCCAAAGGCAGCTCTGTCCAGTATTCCTCCTTCTGCAAGGAGTAAAGGAAGCCAACGGGAGCATTTGCTCCTGTCGGCTTCATGCCGTGTGGACACTGCCACAACTCGGCTTAAGATAAGCTGACTCCAGCTATGCATTTTGCATAGCTGGAGTTGCGTACCTTAAGCTATCTTCCCAGTCTAGTATAGACCAGGTCCTAGTGTGGAGACCAAAAATCAACCATTTAAATGTGAAACATAGGGGTTATAGGTTTGCATTAAGGGCATATTTAACATAATTTTGATTGTGGAATTATTTTTAATGCCTCTGGAATGTATCTTTATTGAATGAAGTTAGCCTTTTCCTGGTGCAGAACCACCGGCTATCAGATAGGAAGGTCCTTATTATAGACTCCTTCCTTCCCTAATGGAAATTTCTTGACCCAGTAATCTTTATAAGAGGGGGGCACTTCTTTGAATAGTTGTTTGTGTGTGTTCAGGGGGCAGATATTAAGAACCAACAGAGAAGGGGGATTCTTGCTTAGCTATGAGGTTCTTTAATGAAATAATGTGAAAAACTCAGGGTTTATCAAGCATGGGAAAATGATGACCTTGAGACTAAGGTACTGCCTTGGGATTCAGAAGATCTGGGTTCAGTTTTCAGCTGTGCCCCAGAATTCCTAGGTAACCTTAAGCAACATACTGCGTCTCCATGCCTCAGTTTTACCATCTGTAAAATGGAGAAAATAGAATTGACTTTGTCTATTTAGACTACAAAATCTTTGAGGCAGGGGCTGTCTCTTACTTAGCATAAATTACAAAAATGATAAAAGGTTTAGAAAAAAATTACCTGTGAGGAAATGTTAAAAAAACAGGACATGCTAACTCTTGAGAAAAGAAAATTGAGGAGGAACCTTATAACAGTCTTTAAATATGTTAAGAGCTGTTATAAAGAGTTCAGTGACTAGATATTCTCCATGTCCTCTGAAGGCAGGAGTAGCAATCAGCTTAATCTACAAGAAGGAAATTTAGGTTCACTGACAGGAAAAACTTACTAACTGTGAGGGTAGTTAAGAACTTGAACGGGTTACAGACGAAGGGTGCAGAATCTCCATCATAAGAAGGTTTTAAGAATAGGTTGGACAAACACCCGTCAGGAATGCTCTAGGTTTCTATGGTCCTGCCGTACCACATAGGACTGGACAGATGACCTCTTGAGGGCCTTTGCAGCCATACAACTCTGTGATTCTGTTCTAGCATCCTGTCTCAGGTGAGGCCCCTCTCTGCTACTGTGATAAATAAATAACAATAAATAGGAGGTCAGATAAATAGAAGCCCAGAATTCAGTATTTTATTTAGCATGTGCATAGTTGTCTAGCCAAGCAATGGCATCTTCAGTGGCATGATGCAGTTCTTCTAGACCACTACTCAACCTCATCAGCAGGCATTACAAAAGGCTCTCTCGAAGGCCCCAGTAGCAATACTGGTTAGCTGCACAGAGACCTTGCCTGGTCCGGAATGTGCAGTAGCAGTCTCGGGTTGGTTTGTGTACTTTCTCCAGTAGCTTGCCAGTGGCAATCTCTCATCTGAAATCAGGAGGAGCAATAACGCTCAGAATTGAGAGCCATGGGAGTGGAGTTGGACACAAGATGCCAGAGATGAGGCGCATGGGGGCATGTAGCTATGTATCCCCCAGTTAGGTGTATGAAGATCAACTCCATACTGGCGTGCAGTTCTCCACCACTGAATATGAGGTGGCTAGAGCTGACATCTGCAAAGTTGGGGCATGAGCATCCCATTGATGAACCTGCTAGTTTGCTAAGAAGATTGTTGCATGTTTTAACTTAGCTGTCGTCTTCCTAAGATGGGCATGGTAACTCAGCGTGCAGTCTAAGCTCTCACCTAGGTAGATCGGTTCTACGTCATGGTTCACCTTCTGACTATTCAGATAAACATTCAGTTCTTAGGCTGTGTTCACATAATGAAGATGGAACAAACTGGAGATGGGTTTTAGGATGCTTGGCTGGAGATGCCAAGTCCTACAGCAGAAAGCTAACTTAACCAAGTCCAGGTTTAAGGTGGCATCAAGCCTGTGAAAAGTCTAGGCCGGGGTACTGCAACAGATGTTGTCTATTGCAGTACCTTGTGGCATATGTTATAGCACGGCACGCTGGCCTGCTCATGAACGTGTTATGGGTCCTGTTACCCCAGGTCACAGGTGTCATTAAACTGTTCCTCCATGAGAGATAGTTCAGAGTCCATACTGGGGAGAAGAGGAGTGCTTGGAAACGACAGAGAAAGGACAGGTTACCCCAAGGCTCTGTGCTTTCTTTAATCCTGCTCAGCTTTTACATCAATGACCTGCCAATAACAGTCACCAAAGTTCGTTTACACAGAATTCAGTGAAGACTGGACACTGTGTTTCCATCTCAATCTTGTGTCAGTTGATTCCCTTTAATTCTAATGGACACGGTTTAGTAACACAGATATCAGAATTAAGTTCCTTATGTAACTGCTTGTGCTGTCCCCAGATTGATGTTCAGCCTGGCCTCATTCACATACCCTGGCATATTACCTGATAAGTCAGCTGACAAATGCCTGTGCATTTCGATATCATATAACTGTTGTGGGCCTGCCAGAGGGAATGATCAATAGAGCTACTTGGTGCCATTATTCCTTTCTTAAAATGTCTCTCTGGAGGACCCAAAAGAGAGGAGAACTGTCTCTCTGGCTGCTCATCCATCATGGAGACTTCTTTCAGTAGGCTTGATGCCTGGACGAGGCAGCACATGAATAACTCATTCCAAAACAGCTGCCACTCACAGCTTGTGAAATCCTTCCATCTAGCTGCCTTTCATGAGGCATTTAGCTGCCTGCTCCATAAGCTACAACAGGTCGTGTCACAGCTTGGGACGAGAGGCTGAAAATCATTCACAAACCAAGGAGAAGAGGGTGAATGGAAAGCAAGCAAGTAAGCTGTGGCAGAAGGGAAATGGGCACAGCCTAGAAGAGAACAGTGGAAAGGGGAGCACACGTGGGAAAGAATGAGAGGGACAAAAATGAGGTACTTGAATGGCTGCTTTCTCCCTAAAACGGCCACCACTCACTCTCCATTCTTATGGCCAATGAGTGTGAGGAAAGTGACGGGTCACCAAGAGCAAGCAGGAGCTGGCAGCTAGAAATAAAGCTGGGAAGCAGCTCTCACCAGATGGAGCATGGGTTTATGCAGTAAAGCCACCAGGCGATAAAGTCGTGAGCAGACGAGTCCAGAAAAAAATGGCTATAGCCACGTGGTTGACATGAACATGATCCCTGGGCACATCATGACATTAACTCAAAGACCTCAGCAGATACCATCTCTGATTCTAGGCATGCCCAGGGAAATGAACTCACCAGCAGAGGGATTCCAAAAGTGAATCTTTGTAGGAGTTGGTTTCTTTTACCTGTGGCAGAGCTTGCACAACGGTGTCCAGTAACGCCCGCATCCCTGTAGCCATCTTCAGCAGCTTCAGCACTGGCAACAGAATCCAAACAACATTGCTACTCAGTGTTGGGACTTAGAGGAGAGAAACCTGCCAATATGCCTAGGCACCTGGAAGCACCACCCATTGTGGGTGTACTGCTGCTCTCCTCCTTAGCAAAACAGTTCCACCAACCTCTCACTCCTTCTACAACTGGGCATTTTCCTTCCACCCCCACCGCCTCCTACATGGGCCTTTCTAGTCCAACCCATCCCTCTGCATACTAATGACCCCTTCTCTCTCATCCCATTCCCATGCTGGTGCCTTCCATCTTACCCCCTCACATCCTGCACACTGGCCTGCCTTTTCCCAACACTCCACTTCACCAATCTCTTCTACTCCTCTTCCATACTCTCCTACACTCTCTTCATTCATTCTCTCCTCTTCCTGTTGTTTGCAAATGAGGCTTGGCAAGTATTCATTTGCCCTGATCCCTGTACATCTGTCCTCCACAGTGCAAACCATATAGGCTCTTAGCCTTTTCTGCAAAAATTCCAATGATATTTGCATTGTCAAAACAAAAGAAGGAAGAATTGTTTTTTCCAAAATTCTGCCAATCATTTTGGTCCCTCTCACAAAGCGAAAGTCACGACTGCTTTCCAGGACAAAGGTGCATCTAAATGTCAAGTTGAGGGCCAAATTGAACTAAGATCATTCAGAACACTGCAACTTTTATTCCAGAACAAGAGAGTCTACACACAGAGTTAATCAGGAATAAACGAATAACTGCTCGTGTAGACAAGCCCTGAGTTTCCATAGCCCTCCGAGATTCCAGATATGAAAAGCCAATTGGTGAAATGGCAACACACACAGCACCCAGTGCATTGGGTGTCTGTGCCCCACTTCTCCCTCCATTGTCTCTCTCACCCCGAGCAATGCGCAGCACCCTCATGATGCGGATGATAGTGGGGTTAATGGGGAGAGCTGCATTGATTTCAATCTCCTCCAGCGTGATGCCCATGACAGACAGAAGCACAATGGCCAGGTCCAGCTGGTTCCACCTTAAATTAAAAGAAGGACGAATGGAGCTTTTCTGTTTGACTGACAGGAGAATGTGAACTCTTTACATTTCAAATGCAACAAAGTAAAATAAAATCCCCCGAGTCAATGAATCAGAGGCCTTGCTGCAATAGCTAGAGCAGGGTCCTTTATTCTGCTCCCATCTACTCTGTTTCCTGGACCAATCAGCAGATTCCTACAAGAGGAAGCACTCGATAGCACTTATTAACCAGTTATCACTCCAGTGTGTGTAAGGTGAATCTAGTAAGACCCCTTTTACCCTGAGCAAGCAAAAAGTTGAGGTCCCAATGGGATTCCATTGCAGATACAGAGCCCCCCCCCCACCAAATGTCACCGCCTCACCAAATGACCAGCATGCCCGGGTGCTCACCTGTCTTTGAAGAATCGCCGCAGTCCAAATGCCACCAGCTTCAGAACCGCCTCCAGCACAAAGACTGTGGTGAACATGTAGTTGCAGTACTTCAGGGCAGTCTCAAGAGACTGTGGATGGAAAGAGAGGTTGAGAGAGGTGGGGAGTGAGAGGCAATAATTACAGATGTGTTTGTGAAGTCCCTAAGTTCCAGCCTGCTTGACTGATCAGGAATTCACAAGGAGTGGAGGCAAGAGGGGGCTGCCAAATCCTGGACTGCAACTACCTGAATGCTGAGGCAGACTTACCAAGGGCAGCGGACATCACACTGCATTCCCATGCCAAGTGGTTCTGCAGGGACCTGCTGTTCTGTCCAGCCACAGCTCAAGAGAACGGGCAGGCTGGGGAAAGGGCAGAGGTGCACCTTGGACATCAGCAGCATCAAGTTCATGGGACATCTCCCAGGTGTTACCCTATACATGGCTTCATTCACCTACAGAGAATGCGTCCAGCAGGGAGAGTGCTTCTGAGAAACGACCTGTTGCTGAATGTGTGCCATTTTCAGTAAGGGGAAACCCCATGACTCTGGCTGGGAATTGGGGAAGGGTTTAGCAAGCTTCTGCCCTCTGTTCTGCAGCACTAGTTCTCCCTGCAAGGTCCCCATTCTCCAGCAAACAGTGGCACAAGCTAGGGTGGGCTGTGGGGGTGACTACTACTTCCCAAGTTTTTAGACTTACTTAAAGTTCCCCAGGCCAGCGCCAGATGACTTTTAAGCAATGGTTCCATACTGAGGGTATGTCTACACTACAGAGGTTTTTTTTTTCAGAAAAACAGCTGTTTTTCCAAAAAAACCCGTCAATTATGTCCACACTGCAATCATGTTCTTTCAAAAGAAAATGGAAAGAACAGAGGGGTTTTTCTGACATTGGTAAACCTTTTTCTACGAGGAAGAGCTCTTTTGGAAAAAGGCGTGTGTGGACAGGGAAGAGGGAGTTCTTTCGCAAGAAGAGGAAAGAAGAAAAAGCACGGTGCCCTGGTGGCCATTCCGCCCATAGCAATCACAGCTTACATGCGAGAGAGCATCCATTCAGTGTGGACGCTCTCTTTCGAAAGAGCAGATGGCTTTTTCAATGCACTTTGGCAGTGTGGACGGTCTCTTTCGGAAGAAGTTTCTACAGAAGATCTCTTCCGGAAAAGCTTCTTCCGAAAGAAGCCTGCAGTCTAGACATAGCCTCAATCTGTATGGTGACTGCTGAAGCAGCTGAATGTCACTCTGGCTGCATGGTCACAACACCACTGAAATTTGACCCAGATGCCCCTTTGTACAGAGAAGAGAGGCTCCTTGGCGGACCACTGAAATTTGACCCAAAGGGTCAAATTTGTACAGAGAAGAGAGGCTCCTTGGCGGAAGGAGAGCTGGGATCCCTGCAGGGGGCGAGAGCAGGAGGGGGGAGAGGGAGGAGGCTGGAATGAACCCTCCTCCCAAAAAATATCTAAATTGATGCCACTGCCACCGGAGAGTTTCTATTAATTGTATGCAGCACTTCTACAGCACCTTTTACCTGGAAATCTAAAAGCCCTTTGCAAGAACTGATCAGTGAGACTGTACCATATGCCTGTGAGGAAATGGGTATGTTTACCCCTATTGCATAGCTGAGGAAGCTGAGGCATGGGGAAGTTAATTGACTTGCCCAAGATCAAGGGTGTGATGTGTGGGGGAGACGGGATAAGGGACGGTCATTTTTGCAGAACAAAACAGGAGCTATAGGGAACACCATGGGGAGCGAGGGAGGCCGTTCAGGAACACAAGATAAACAGGAACCAAATTCAAAAGTCATCAAGAAAGATAAGCTGGGCTTAGAGGGAAAGCCTGGCAGTGAATCTGAGCAACGAAAGACAAGTCACAGCCTGGGTCACTTCTAATACAACCAGCTCCTGCTATGAAATTAAATGTGTCATCAGTCTACCAAGGGCTGCATGCTTGTGGGCAGTGACATAGCAGTGAGTGTGGTGCTTTTGAATAGAGGGGAAAAAAGCCCCTTTTCTATACATGCACCACATTTCCCCCCTTTGCCCCTAACATGTCTGTAACCTTGTCAAAATTTTTGAGATTTCCCCCTCTCCCCCCAGATCTTTCACAACCTTCAAGAGCTTCTGGTGTGATCACCCTCCTTCCTTCTGAGAGAAACACGCCAGGACTCTCTTCAGAGTCTGTCCATCCTGCTTCTCTTTTGGAGGGAAGGTAACTGGGGCAGGGGCTCTCTTCAGCTATCCAAGGACTGGGCTTGCTAGCCTCTGTGGCACTCCCAACTCACTTCCAGGTTTGGGGGTGGCTACGGAGAAACTGAAATCTGATCCATCTAGCAATGCAAAGCATTAGCTCCTGTAGGCAGTATGCCACCCCCTACTGGGGCCTGAGAGAAACTACAAAGAGAAGGTGACCATGCAGCTAAACTGGGATCATTTACGATACAGTAGAGAGAACTAACTCTCTCTTATCACCTTGCGAGTTAACGCTCGCAGAACTTTGCAAGGCAGTTTTCATGGGACATGCCTCTGCCATCTATCAGGGTGGGTCACAACACCAGCAGCCATGGTGAAATTACATATTTAGTCATTGGCTAGTGTTTCGAGCAGGGGAGAGCTGTCAGGATAAGGAGTGGGGAGGAGGTGTTGCAGAGAGGATAGGTTAGAAGAAGTCAGAGGTTAGAAAAAGTTACAGAATATATAGAGGTTTTCTTTGGGTTGCAATTTGATGCCCTCTTGCAAAGCATGCTGGGAGATGCTGCTCTTCCAAGTAAATCTCTAATGGCTGTAGTGTTTTACTTACAACCTAGTGACCCCTCATGTGATTGACTGCTTGGAAGGGAAAGTACCAAGTCTCTTGTTATGGAAAATGAGATGGGGAAAAGAGAGGGAGGGACAGAGGAAGGGGCAGGATTTGGTCCCCTGAACTCACTCACCACTGGCTGGTTGTAGTGCTCCAGGGACATGGTGACGACGTTGAGGCAGATGATGAAGGTGATGAAGATGTCCAAGTAGTGGCTGGTGCAGACCGAATGGATGAGGAGGCGGACAGAGCAGTAGGTGGCGTAATACGGCAAGCGCTGCGCCTCTTCAATGGGAGTGG